ATATATATACACACATATATATATCTCTCAAAAATTTTCTGAGCATGAGGAAAATAATTTGTCCCAAATACCAATTTATTTATTTTTCAAATAGTCTGCACTTTTTGTCAGCCGCTTCAGAATGGTAAAAATATTCTCAGTCTCTTCACGTGCCAAGTTTTATCCCCAAAGGAGTTTTTTTAGAGTGTCTGTAAACACTCTTACAAGACTTCTCAGTCCTATCTTTAGCAACATTCTTATCCTTCTAACACATTCCACACACGTCCAAATTCCACCTTTCCAGAAAGGCATGATTCATGTTTCCCTTTTTGGCAAACATACCACAAATGCTGTTTAAGAATGGCTCCAGTTTTGCAATCCTATACTTAGAGTGACCATGTACCAATCAGAGAGACAGAGAAGCCATATAAGGTCATTTAGACCATCACTCCCTTCCAGCTCAGGGCTGCTCCCATATCAGGATTTATAAAGCTTTTTTCCCAGCATACTTTCAAGGGCCCTAATAATTACTTTTACCTCCAGTTACCCCACTCTGTACAAGATGACTAGAAGACAGACTCCGCTTTTTCGTCATCATTGTTATTTAAAAATCATTTCCTCCACCTAACCTAATCCCATTCCTCACACTCACTCTCATTACACACAAACTAAGGTCTTTCCTCCCCCACCTGTTTTTTATGTTTTTCCAGTCAATTATACTTCAGAGATGTTTTATTACAACTCAAATGCCAGAACTATTTTGATCTTCAGACCAAACTACTCTGATTATCCATTATTTCATGTATTTGGAAGGACTACCATAAAGCATTTATTGGCTGTGAGCTGTCAGTGAATCCAGATCCTACTTCCTCCCCAAGATTAGTCACCTCTGCTTCTGTCCCAAAAGTACAAAACTGTGAAGCAAGCTGCACTCATTTCCTAGCTATGAAATCTTCAGTGCTCCCTGCATAATAATGGTTCTCAAGTAAGTTTCTCAAAAGGTATGCAGGGAATAGCAGCATTTAGAGACTTTATTGCTGTTCCGTATCCATACCTTTTATCACCACTGGGGAGAATAAAACAACCTGGGTGGTCAAAAAGAGAATACCTCAATAGGGAGTCATTCTGTATCTCACTGCTATAATCATGACACTTTCGAATACTTATACTTTCCCATTAAATTACTGAGTATTATTGGTAAAAAATGAAAAGTTTTATCTTACGTAATGGATAATAGTTCTGCAGCCACTACAAAACCTTTTCAGCACTTAAGCTTTGCATCTTTTAAAATACATATATAGGAAACTGAATTAGACACAGAACAATTTTAAGGATGGATATGCAACAGACAATACAAATGAGAATAATGCAGAGAATCACATGTAGAAAAAAAAAATCAGCTCAGTATTGAAAAAGATTTTTTTTTCCTACCAAAAGACCTCAACAGTTACTTTCACCATGAAATGAGAAGAGGGATTGAGCACATTACTCACCTACACAGTTCCCCACCCACGGACAGTGGTGATCAAACTTGGCTATACATCGATTGCACACACCACAGTGTTTGGACCTCACCGGCTTCCGTATCTGTCAGTTATTAACAACAGTTTAGACAAGCAAATTGCCCTGATATATTTGAAATAGAAAAAAAAATCCTGCAATTTAAATGCAAACTGATTTTGCTATGGTGAATTCCTTAAAGAACTTAAAACTTGATGCTAATTCTTAAAGCAATCCTAGCTATTCAGCTTAATACACTGTTTAATACAAACATCTTTACAACTGCATTGAAATGATTCCCATACTATTTTTGTTATACAGAAGATTTCTTTTCCATACAAAGTTCTTCTATCACCTCCACCTATTGAGCTTTGTACAGCAACCAGCTTCATTTCAGCTTTTTAACAGTCAAAGTACAAAATGAGTTTGAATTCCACGATTCTGTCAGTATCATTCATAACTGAGCTCTAACAAACTCTTCAGTTTATTTTCTAAAGATGGAAATATGACACAACAAGCAGAACTCAGTGGAACCTAAAATGCTACATTACTCTCAATAATTTTTCTTAAAAAGTTATGCCTCGAAAGAAGTGGTCTGAGATATATATATATATATATATACACACACACATACACACAGTTTTTAGAGGTGCAACATCTGTACATAATTTTCCAGATTCCATTCTAAGAATATTAATATCATTCATGTTCTACATGGGTCTGAGCTTTGCAGTGTAACACTGATAACCTTGAGGATTTTATATTTACTAGTTAACTTTCTAAAGAAGAAACACACTACATCTGTATTACAAAAATGAAGCTTCCCCCTCACCTCTGACCAGTGTCAAAGAGAGAAACACACTTGAGTTTTCAAAAAAATATTTTACTAGAAACACAACATAAGTTTACTGTGGCTTGCAGAGGTGGTAGAATGTCACCTGTAATTTTCTTAACTTGTTAGGTGTATAGCCAACCATCTTGGTAAACATATTGGATACTTGGATTTTTACACTGGCAAGTTATTTCTACAGTGATCATCTTTTTTTCCTGACACTGTTGCAGCTTTTTCATATACAGAGATATTATTTATTGAAAACAATGCTCACACTCAGTATTACAAATAAATGCTGTCCTTGAAACTGCATTATTAAGGTTAAATATGTGTTCAGTATAGGAACACTAATTTTGGGTTAGGATTAAAGGGAAACAAAAAACAGTAAGTGCAGAAATTGATTTAAAAATACACTACCAAGCAGGTACTGCAGAATATACTGAGGTCCAGACTTCCTGTCTCTGCAAGTTCTACTATTGTCTGCAGGGAAAAAAAAATTAAAAATTAAAATTTAGCATAGAAACAAATGCTGACAACCATTTTCAGACCCATGGCTGTGAACTCTAGTTCAGGTACTTTCTGCACACAGGAATAAATTAAATTCTGATGTAACAGATTTTGAATCTACTTTATTAAACCAACATGCACATTTACTTCTAAATTAATTCTAGCTTATATTTACTCGTAGTCTATCTAGGTTAAAATAAAGAAAGAGTAAGTTTATATTAATTTTGATACATCCAGAGTGATTAGCAACCGTTTCACTTGCCTGCTGTAAAACCCATTAAAATTAATGCAGCTGAATTTCCAAACAAGAACATAAATATAACTAGCTAGCAGGATCAGCCAGTCTAAAAAATAGGCTTTCTTTCCAGAGGTTCCTCAGATGCTGAAGCTTCAAGAAAGAAAATAAATAATGCAAACCAACCCTCCTCTTACAGCTATTTTTAAGGGTCAAGTGATTCACAGAAGTAGTAACAGTTCATGCTTATACCTTCACACTATATTATAGTTTTTTTATTTTGTACTCTCCTTCAGTACCCACTTCATTGTTGGAATAGAAGGAAATTACTCTTCAATTGAATGTTGTCCTAGAATTTTTAAAATTCAGCAGCTGAAAACATGCCATGTGAGACTTAAATGACATTTACAACATATGGAAAATATCCTGAAACCATCATTTGCCAGAACAGTCTTCCCTGAACTAGGAAGAATTCTCTCAGCATAAGTAGCCTAATGGCAAATAGATTAATCTGCTGCTCCCCTTCAGACCACACAGATTGTTTGCATCAAGCTGGTTCCTAACTGCAGAAACAACAACAAAATAAAATAGTCCTTACAACTATTTTCTCACAGCAATACAAGGACAACTTCCTTAATTAGATGACAAACACTAAGGTACCTTGACTGAAGCTGCAGAAGTTTTCCTCCAAAATACTAAAATGGTTAGGAATAAATTATGGAAACTTTTCCTCAAAGCAACCAGTAAAAGCTGGTGGATACTAAAGTCTGAAAGCTGGACTATTCCCCTCCCATATGTTGTATTTCCACTTGCTATTGGCCTGGTATTCTTGGCTTGCCCACTGTAACTCTTCAGAGCACCTCTCCAACCAACCACTGCCATTCACAAGCCCTTCCATGCCCCTCTTGCAACTTGCCAACTTCAGTTCTCTGCATCCCTTGCTCATCCCCTCCCCTGCCATCCCTCACTGCTCTAACATTTCCCAATACAGGAGTTGGAAATAAAGGGCCTTCCTCACAGGAGTGACTTTTGTAAATAAATCAGATGGGCAGACAGCAAAAAACCCATTGAGACATACCTACCATGACTTCAATGTTGGTGGTGTGACTTTTGATAACTTGGATAATTTCATACAATACATTTTGGACAACCTCATGTATAATCCCTCTGATTTCAGTGAGAGTATAACACTAAAGACTAAAAAAAAAAGGGTGTACAAAAGAATGTACATAGTGCTCAAGACTAGAGTGCAGTGTTGTCACAACAAGCAACATCCCACAGCTCAGGAGGACAGAACTGAACAAGGGCAGATGAACAGCTTTTAAATCTAACTCTCATACAGAACCAGGAGCACTCAGGTTAGGGCCACACTTGTGCTTTGTAAACCTTGGTCTATTTTCTATGCTTCTGAACTATAGAAAAAGTTTGTTTATTATTTATTCATTTATTTCAAGAGTGACTTGAGTTATTTTGCAACACAGAAGAAAGGACATGACCTATCAGAACAAACATCTGAAGTTGTAGCTTACTACATATTTCCAAGCATACTTCACTTGGTCATCTGGAATAACAAGAATTTCCAAGCTTTCCAAAGCTAAAGGCTAACTCAGCATTAAGTATCTGGAGACAATTTATGAAAGTGTTAGGAAGTGCTACGCTGCACAAAGGTAAGGCACATGTCCTCCAGTGCTTCATACCACTATTGATAACCAAACATTTTACAATGTGGTTAGCTGCCACTAAGAAACCCAAAACACTCATAGCCATACCCATCTGCCTGAAGAAGCTGCATTTTGCAATTCCTACCCAGTTCAGCAAAGTTTTTGCAGCCACCCTTAACTACTTAAGCAAATAGATAAAGTGAACTGCATGTTTGTGCAATTTGCTGAATCCGAACCAAACTGCCATTGCTGACTATACTATTTAATTTAGTCCAGTTGAAGGAAGAGAATTAAGTCTGGAACTTATACTTTGGCAAATGTGCAATAACGAAAAGGGAATTTGCAGAGTGAATCTAAATGTGCACATGGACTAACAACTCAGTTATAACCTATTGGAGAACACAAAAACCATTTATCACAACCATCCTGTTAAAGGCTATTGTATTTTTGTTCCTACATAAGGCCATGATTCCAAGCAATCTGATGGTGATCCACACGCTCTGACCATGAAGCAGAAGCTCAGAACTCATTTTTGGTGGGATGTGGGCTTCTAAGAAACTTAAACAAACCAAACAAAATGCTTCTGCTCCATGTATAATTTTGGCATATTCAATGCTCAGTTTGGCTGTTGAGAACAATCATTTGAATTAAAAAAAATAATAATCAGAAACGCTAATAACAGTGATAGAACAACTTAGGAAGAAATCATTAGATCACCCATACTTTCTATAACATTTCTGCCAAAACAAAAGCCCAACCCAGTCTGTCAGGGGTTTCGTTATTTTAGCCTCAAAATGTTTGTCACTCTAATACTTCTAGACACAAAGGTAAGGAAAATGAGATGTGCTTAAAAGTCTGGAAAGTTTTATTAAAACTAACACTTTTCCCATAGTGGGTTATTTGTTCAGTAAGGACAAAAGTCTGAAATTTCACATTTTTGTTTTCACCCAACTACTTTTCAACATTTAAAATATTTTGTTATACAACAGCTTCAGGAAATTTAATGTACTGAACAGCAAACTACTCTGATCAGCTGGCGGAATGCTGCTGAAGAACAAGTTTCCCTTATCTCACGACTTTACCTTTTTCTTTTGCTCTTCCGTGGCTTTGATGATTCCTGGATCAGATTTCCAAGATTTTCCAAAATTGTAGAAAAGTGCAATGCTATTAGCAAGGAATGGAAGATGTATAAAGAAAAAATTGAGATGTGTTTACAGTTAAGGAATCTAAAGTGTAAAACCAAATTTCCTCTCAAATATACCCACTGATAACTCTGAAATAAAATGCAAACAAATTTTATTTTTACTAATGCACTCAGGTCATCAATAACCCAAATTCAGCACCGCTGTAAGAACTAGCTTGGTACTCCATATTTTCTATTGCTCAAACTTTAAAACTTACTTTTAAGAATGCTGTACTGCTTAAGGTATTGGTAAAGCATTTATCCATCTAAATAATGAATAACGATAGCACAGGTTTTGTAATTATTTTCCCTTCTAATCATATTAAATCTCATGAAATTTATCTTCTTAATAACTATTTCCTGTTTTCATAATAAACATTTTGGAGCTTTATTTATAAGATAGACATTTGACTGCCTATGTCTTCAGTGGCTTGACATTCCTGTGAGATCACAGGACAGAGTGTTTCTAGCCATAGAAGGAATTTTGCTGCGATGACCACTGCTGCATGGCAATCATGTCCCAACATCACTTATCTCCAAGAAAAGTACTGTCTGAAACCTGGTCCTATAAGGCAATACCCATATTTTGCATCAATGAAAGTTATTTTTAACATACTAATACATCTAATACTTACAAAACCACAGGATTTGTTATACTCTGGAAGGGTTTATAAACTGCTTACCTTATTAGGACAGACAATAACCATTTGTTTTAAAATTTATTTCCTGTGTTGCCATATTTCCTGAATGTCTTGCCATACAACATGCCTGGTCTTACAGCACTTGACATTTCTTCAGGGAATTAGAACATTTCTTAGCAACGACGCTGAAAAAACAAATACTTCAGATATGCCTCTTCCACAAAAGGTGGAAAATTACTTACTCTGATAAACCCACAAAAGATCTGACCAGCCTGACTAAAGATACCTGTCAGTCATAACTCCAAGGAGATGCTATATTTGCCAAAGCTATAGTGGCAGAAGCCTCTACAGCATTCATTGTGCAGGCAAAAAGGACACCTATTACTCAGGTACAAATCATTGCATACCACAATTACACTGAGTTTTGAGAAACTTACATAAACTTATTTAGACTTTGCAATATGAAGAACCCTGAAATGCAAACAAATACCAGTAGGCCTCTCTTTGTCTTCTGAAATGCTAACAAGTCTCATCGTTCATGTGAAGTGCATCCCAAATAATTTTTGTTTTCCTTCTGTTGGGGGAATTTGTTGGGAATTTCTAATAAAATCATTGGCAAGTTAAATGAAAATTTTAATAGTAAATATTACATGGTAGAACGTTAGTATTGGCTTACTAAAGGCTAATTAATCTTTTCTCCAACAAGCTGTTTCCTGCAAGTTTATCATAGGGGGAAAAAAACCATTAGCTAAACTATAACCTAAACACTCACAGTTCTATTTTACACATTACAGATGAAAAGCTCTGACTTAAAAATTTATACAATGCAATTTCTTCCTATTTTTATTCTAAAACTATGTGCTGCCAAGAATAAGCTGGTTCAACTGGTTTGTATAGCTAGAAAAAATTGTTTTCTTTAGAATGCTAAAAGTACCACTGAGGTTTTTACCGCAACAGTGAAAACTTTTCTTTTTCATTAAAAATGCCTTAATCAGACATCTGCTACAAACAATAAAGGTACAATTGAAAACAATTGTATGACCTGTTCGTAATTACCATACGTCATGTCTAGACTTCTAAAGAAGATAGGGAGAAAGACAGTTTATTTTTTATCCAGTTAACACTTTGGAATTGTTTTTTTGCTAACTTAAATTTGGACAAACTGTGTGATACAGAAACTGTTTTCTGAACTCATCCTTCCCCCATTTTACTCCATAAAATACAGAGAGAACATAAGAGATGCCCCACAGAGTGTTTTGCCAATGTAATGCTGACAGTGTAAATGTTGGCAGATAGGTAGTTCTGTGCTGAGAACAGGAGATGTCAGTAGAATACACGGAAAGTTAAAAATTTTCTTCTCCAGGGCATTTCCAGCTGTAAGATTCATCTTGCCCATCTTAAATTGCTCAGTATACCTTCATGCACATCAAAGGGAAAAAATCCACAACCAATCTATCTTCAATATCAAGATATTTATATTAAATCAAAGAAGCAGTGCCCTAAAAAAGGTTATTTTTCACCACTGACTATGAAAAGTGCTTAAACCCCAACTTCAATACAGATTTCCACACTAGAGGTTATCTAAATCATGCTGAATTCCCTTCTGAAGTTCACTTCCAAAGAGATCTTAGCAACTTGCATCACAGACATCTCCCAAAACTCTTCAGAGGCAAGAAACCCTTGTAGGTTTGCAATAGCTACAGAATAGGGAACCGGTTCTGCAGAGACTGCCTCGTTCTGACTTAACATCCTCATTTCCAAGTACACAAGGAAAAATACATGACCGTATTCTTAAGGGCCACAAAACAAGTGCTGTAGCAGTAATTCATCTACTGCCTTGCCACCAACTAGCTGTCTTTTATGAGGTTTACAGAGTTTTCATTGAGAAAGACAAAGCAGAAGCACCCATTAAATATTTTATACTTCTAGTCCTGATCAACAGCCTTTAATTATCAAAATAAACACAAGAGGCTGAAAATTATTCCAGGAATCCACTTGGAACCAAAAGGCCATCTCATTAAAAAGAAAACTGAAACCCAACAAGCACCCCACAGCCCATATGAGAGGCAAAAACAGATGAGCTGATTTTTCACTGTGATCTGCAGTCTATTTAAAAGGGCCCAAATACATGCAGCTTCCTGCTGTCACACACATAGTCTGAAATCAAGCCAAAATGCATGTTATAGACCAAGATGGGCCCTTCCACTAACTACAACTTGAGCAATAAATCATTTCCTCCTAAAGAGAAAAATCTGTGGCCAGTGTAAGGTGTCAGAGATCAGCCCCATTTGACTAGACATTTATTAGACAAAATCCATTTGTAATCAACTGAATTTCTGGAAAAGTTCTCCACCTCCACTTCTATCTAACATAAAGAATCCCTTAACTTAAAAACAAAAAATTACTGTCATCTCTTTCACCCAAAAATTATTTTTTCCTACTTTAGAAAAAAATAGGAAATAATATTTAGACACAGTTCTGGATAGCTGTGCCTGGAATTTGGATTTCTGGGGTCTCTGGTTCTTCTAGAAACATAAAATAATAGAATCATAGAATTTAGGGGTTGGAATGGACCTTACAGATCATCTAGTCACAACTCCCCTGTTATGGGCAGGGACACTTCCTCTCTAGATCAGGTTGCTCAAGGTCTCATCCAGCCTGGTCTTGAACACCACCAGGGTTGGGGCAGCCACCACGTCCCTGGGCAACCTGTGCCAGTGTCTCACCACCCCCACAGTAAAAAACTTTTTTCTCACATCCAACCTAGACTTTCCTTCAGTTTGAACCCGTTACCCCTTGTCCTACCATCGCAGTTCCTAACAAAGAGTCCCTCTCTGGCTCCCTTGTAGCCTCTTCAGGTACTGAAAGGCCGCTATGAGGTCTCCACACAGTCTTCCCTTCTCCAGGCTGAACAGCTCTGACTTCCTCAGCCTGTCCTCATAGGGGAGATGCTCCAGTCCTTTTATCAACTTTGTGGCCTCCTCTGGACTTGCTCCAACAGTTCCATGTTCTTCTTATGTTGAGAACACTAGAACTGCATGCAGTATTCCAGGTGGGGTCTCACGAGAGCAGAGTAGAGGGGAAGAATCACCTCTCTTGACCTGCTGCCCACACTCTTTTTCATGCAGCCCAGGATTCGACTGGATTTCTGGGCTGTGAGTGCACACTGGAGCTCATGGTGAGCTTCTCATCCAAAAACATGGCTGGTGGCTTCACTCTGCATGCATGCAATGCATGCAAGGCTTGTCGTTGTTTTCCTGAAACTAATTTTGGTACCATGATTTTTTTTAACCACTGAATTGTACCGATTACCTTGTTACAGTTTTAAAAATCCTATGCTATTGTAACAGCTTTGTGAAAGCATGAAAATCATCACGATTTCTTACACCCAGTTTTTAAAATTATCCCTAATTGAAGAAGTGTGCAATGTTTGTTTTCTTTCACCTAAAACTCAATAGGTGAAGTATATTTGAAATAAGATAATCAATACAGTATTAGCCAATTATGAATTATTTTTAAAAACAAACTGCCTTATATCATCTCCTTAACTCAGCATAGAAAGCAGTATGCTATAATGAAATAAAGCTTACTTAATTAAAACTGCACAGTCCCATTTGCACCAAATGGAAGTGGCAGAAATGGAAAAAACCTACTGTGAATATTTTGGGTTACAGCAAACTCTGGAACATCTTAGAAAAACAGAGCAGGCTAAGAACCTTCTGATCTAACAGGCACTATTTTTTCAGCTGGAACTGAGAAGACAGCATGAACAACTGAGATATGAACTCAATACATGTCTTGGACTTTTACACAGCACAAGAGAACATTCTACCTGTAAATGCTAATGAAAAAGAACGAACAGTGAAATTCTAGTTTCACATTAATGAAAGTGTACTTTTAAATAAGTTCTTTATTTCAAAAATAAAACTAAAATATAGTGATGTAGTGTGTTGAATTTCTGAGGGTATGTGCCCTCTACTGTGTCAACAGTAGAAGACTAGGATACACTAACAGAGCAGGACATAACTATCCTTTGTTATGGGCAAAATACAGCTAAAGGGAAGCAGCAAAACAGTGGCAGGGAAGCCTAGGACCATAGACTCATATCTCCATAAACATACAGATCATAACTTCCTCATTCCCTGCAAGAATAGGATTTCTACTTAAACAAATATACCAGACTCAGAAGCTGCTGAGAAAAACCCAGTAAGTTTTGTTTGTTCTTTATGATACATTGCATCAACTGCCTTTTTCTGTCCCATTAGCATTAAATCCAGAACTGATGATCTCCCAGACACCTTCAACATATCTACAAGAAAATTCTTACTGAACACCCAAATATTAAAGCAGCACATGCAGCAATTAAGACCTTTATATTATTTATAACATAAAGTTCCAATAAGGCAATTCCTGATAGTTGCTTAAGGTTAGAGACATCTTTCCCAAGCAGAAGACAGTCAGAACTTGTGAAAACTACTGGAACAGGTTTTATCACTTGAATGTTACAGAATATGAAGCAACACTATAGCCTGCTGTAAGTAATCATGTCAAGCTGTAAAAATACAAGAACCCTTTCTCCAACCACAATGCTGTGCCTCATGCTATAAAAATAGAGCAGGCATGCAATTTCTTTCTTCCAATAAAGCTACAGGGCGATTTTCCAGAAGAAAAAGAATGAATTTGGAATCTTGTTACAAAGACTTCCAATTAAAAATCACCAATTAAAGGAAGATGGCCTCAAGCAGTCACTCTCTGAAAGTGCTTGTCAGAGAATTGTGTCAGCTCTAATGAAACTAATTAGTCACTGAAGGTTTTAGACTACTACTACTGTGTATAAAAAGACTGTTGCAAAGGTTTTGAAACACCAGCTCAGGACAGAAACAGGACAGTATTTCACTGACGTTCTGAAGTCAGGCTTTATTAGGGTAATTAATGGCCTATGGTTACTACTTCTAGTGGACAATTAACATTATTCTATGGCAAAAAATATGCCAAACTTCAAGCTATTTAATCAGAACTGCTAACAGAAAAAAACTTAAGCACATTGCTACAAATACCAAGGAAATATGAGCTTCAGGATAAAAACTTCTCTATTTGCCAGCCTTAAGGGGCAGCTTTCTGCATCAAGATAGAGCTCATCATCAGATTGTGTTGACTGTGCAGCCATTTTAATATGGTTAAGGACTTTAAATCGAAGTTGGACATATTCTTAATTTTGATTCAAACTGATGTTACGCCAGCACCAGAATGCATGTCACAGTAGCTGAACATTTGCAACCCAAAACATGTAGTAGCATTGGCAAACATGAGTTCCTATTTTTAATTTTTTAACTACTGTTTTAAAATACATTTTTCATATTAGTTTTGTACTCACTTTCCTCATTCTGCAGTTATTAGTAAGCTTAAGTAAAAAAAAAAATAGAAAATCAGACCATGTAGAGAGAGAGTTATTTAGAAATGCTGGTCCTACTACCAATTTCAAGACATATTATACTGATATAATTCTTTTTTCTTTTTGTTATTTAAGAGCAACTAGATTTTAACTGTTAAATGTTTTTAAACATGAAATGGCAGTCACTTCCAGTCACTTGGGACTCCTATTCACAGCATTATCTTTGCAAACTCTGCCAGAATGGAACCCAAAGATGCCATGGAACAGGGTCTCCCCTCTGTTCTCAACCCAAAAACACAAGGCTCATTTAGCTAAGTTTAGAGAATACAAGATGCTAAAAGGCATGCACTGCTACTATTCTATTTCATGGCAATTCCTTTCAGGATGAAAGGCAAACCAGTTTCTAGAAAAGCCAAGCCAACACCCTCAAAGTTCACTATTTACTACTGTAAGAGCTATATTAAACATCAAATCTCTATTTTGCTTTCTTGGCTATTGAAATCACAATACCCAAGAAATTTGTTTAAAAATTTGAACCTACTTCCTTAAGGTGAATAACTGACATTCCCCAGTGAACTCTGAATCAATTTCTACCTCCATGAGTATAAAAAGTACCTAACTAGGCAGACAATCAAAACCACAAAAAGATGGGCATATGTTGAATCTCTATAATCTAGTGTTGTTAATACATACATTTTCAAAGACTAAAAAAACAGTTATTCAAGGTATCCGGATCCATTGTATGAAATGAAATTTGCAGAATCTCTAGGAAGAAGTAACTAGGAAACTAACTCCACTGGAATTGATACAGACCATGAAATGACCTTCTGTTTTTCAGAAAAGTAGGATCTGAAAAATGCAAACCATGTCACCTCACAGCCAGAGAGTATTTTATAGAGCTGCTAATATTTCTTCCACATAAGAAATCAGTAAAGCACAGGAAATTTTGCAGCCTACTGTAAGCCAATTTTGAGGAAAATCTTTCACTTACTCAAGCAAAGCAGTAAGTCAGCATATTCTAAAAGCAATAATCAACATAAATATGGAAAACATTGTTTAATGGAGATCCCCTTTGAAAAAATTTTTACTAGTTTACTTACTGTTATATGTAGGATACAGATATGTAATTCCTCATACTATTAACATAAAAATATTACTGTGCACAAAAAAAGGATATCATTCCAAAACCAGAAGAACCACGTCACGTACATCCAGAATTTTGTTGCCAAATATATCCCAAGAGGCAGTGCACTGTGCATGGAGTGATCAAAGAATGACCTGTAAGTAGGAACAATGTCACATGGTAAGTTCCTATTTATAAAATGTAAATCCTGAACTATTGCTTTAGAAAAACATTTCCTGTTAAAATATGCACTATATGGGATATTGAAAAATACACCACAAATACATTTTCCTCACTTTCTCTCTCAAAGTTCATGAGAAATTCACTTTTTTAACCTGTCCAGATGAAGGCTTGAAATGTACACATTTACTTTTGAAGTGAATGAGCTAGCTGAGAGAGACAGAACGAATTACTCATACTAAAACTACATTGTGAAAGCAGTTAGCAACATATGAGATTCCTAGTCACATGGACAGTGGTTGCAAACTATATTTACCTATGAGATCCCAGTGGTAAAGATATTGTGGAAACCCACCAATGAAAATTACATGTTAAAATTACATCAGTAAGAAAAAAAGCTTAAGAGACCTAGGTGGTATCAGCCTACATACACGGAATATTTCAGATTCTTGAATATTTTGCTTCAGTTAGAGTAGCCAACATAAAGCTGGGAAAAAAAAATCAGGATTAATTCACTTCCCATATCACCATATTTGCCAAGTTCTAAGATGGAATGCTGCTATTTTAATTTAAACCTAAATTTCGCTATCAAAATTATTTTCACCTTCTTACACTTTCGCATTTCAAAAATTTCCTGAATAAAGCTGAATATAGTTGAGACAAGCTAGGTGACTAGATCACTCCATATTCAAGAAAAAATTGCTATGAAACATATGAAAAGGCAGACTCTAAACAGCAAAACTTCCTGAAATAACACTTCTTGTATTATCTGCCTAAACATCCTTATACTGATGCATTTTGCATTTTCTGCTGGCGACGCCTTCAGGGCTGCCACGGACAAATGTGTGCACTGAGTCAAATTGTGTTCACTTTATTCCCTTGCAGTAACTCTTCTCTAATAGAAGCTCCTTAGGTCTTTTGAGAAAGCCCTGTAAGGAACATGAGCTAATATGGTGAGTAGTAAGTGAATATACATTTGGACACACAGTAGTTACTCCACACTAATCTGTCTTTCAGAAAGTTCTGTGCATTTTTGTGTGTGTGAAAGTAGGGAGAAAAACACAGCTAAACAAATTAGCTAAAACTCAACAGAGAAAGAAACTATTACTAGAATAACAGCAGAAGTTTCATTCAAACCTGGGCTTCGTGAAAAACACGTAAAGAAGGATTTATACTAAACATTAAGCAAAGGATAAGAGAAAGTAATAATGTCAATCCTGAACATGTGTCAGGTATGTCAAAAATACAAAACTTGACAAAACAGATCTTCAGAGACTTAAAGAAACCTTATCTTCCCTTTCTGTAGGAGACACAGTTGAGGATTTGCACTGATAATTTTTTTTTTGGGAAGAGGTCAGCAAATTGCACAGGCTCAGACATGACAGAAGGACTGAAGAGATCACCTCCAAGATCCTGCAGAAGTGTGATGCTCCTCCACCTCCCTCCTGGTATACTAAGTTCACTAAAACCTTTTGGACTTGGTTTAAGGAAAAGAAGGAAGGAAAAGAAGGAAAGAACAGTAGGTGGTTCTAATAAACATGGCATCCGATGCCAGCAAAGCAGAAAGCTCCGAAGTATGGAGATACAAGTTCTTCTATCCATGACACATGTGATAATGAGAAGCAGAGGATAAATGAAGTGGTTTACAGATCTTGAAAACCCACTGGAGCACAGCTACATCTGTGTGTGTGTGTGTGTATGTGTATTCGTAGGTGCATTAACAGATATTTAAAGGAAACAAACACAACTAAAATTCTTCATGATTAAATTTAAAACACTATTAGAACACAACCCTTTTCTTTAGTCACCCCTTTCCACAACAACAGAAGCTACAACATCTGACTCAGACTTAATTTCTCTCTATAAATCTCATTTAGATGCCTTTGGGTATTTAAATTCTTTTTTTAAAAAATCCACATTTTAATAGGACACTTGCACATAATCTTTTTTCTATTACTTTGTAGCAACTTTCCCACTAACTGCTTTCTGCAAAATTCATGCTGGTAACTCTTTGTAGACAGACATTCAGCACCCTCCTCTGGATAATGACTGAATTTCTGTTCTGCTGCTAGCTTCTATTAGCTCACTGGTGCTCACCCAAGGTAATTCCATATGTTTCTAAGACAACAGAGCATTACAAGAGCTAAAGTTGCACAAGATCTTTCCCAGAAATAGTAATAAAAAGCAATTCCAACAAACAGAATTTTGAGATTATCTATCCAATAAAAGTGCCAGCAAAATACTTCTTGCATGCACACTAAACACAGTGTCCTGGTAAAACACTTACTTTGAAAGGAACTGCACCATAGCCCAAACGCCACCATACATCAGCCCTTTAATGAGCCAAGAATCAATGTCTAGGTCTGCTATAAACCCAACCAGCCAAATGACTAGGAAAGGAGTTCCCAGCATCACCTTCTGACGGAATTCCTACACAGAAACAAAGATCAGTAAGTAACTCAATTTTCAGGAGCAGATTGTACAATAATATTCTATAAACAGGACAATCACAAAAAATTAAATTTTCAGTAAGCTTGACACAAGGGGATGAATCTTCATTCATTTTTCTCATTTTCTGCATTTACACATCTCCAATCAATTTGTGAAGAAAATCAACCTTCCTAAAATTTTACAACGAATCAGTAACTTTGTTTCAGAATTGTCTTCTAGTAACTCAGCAGTTAAGCCAGAACCAAGGCAACAGTAACTTTTCTTCAAGAATCTGTCGGTATATAAACCACTACACAGTACATGGCAATCTCAGTGAGCTTTCAAGAATGCAGTTATATGAGTAATAAAGACATACTAAAGCATCTATGAAAAAGATAGGATTTTTTTTGTCTTAAACTGTATAGGTACAGCTCCAGATGAAGGCATTGACCAAGCACAGTGACAATACACGTGCACACACAACGCAATGCACAAATCACTTCAGGTCAATAATCACTGTGTTGTTACAGTACCAAAGGGTTAGAGCACAGGCTGTAGCCAGTACTTTAAGCAACTTGATGCTATATTAAGCATCTTGATGCAATATATCTTTAACTCAGTAAGTTTTAACAAATCAGTGATAGTAATACTTAACACCCAGCACAGCACTCTGTTGTGACAGCTACTAAGAAGAAAATATTAAGTCTGTGTAAGTCATCAAACAATAGGCAGGAGGACAGCTCATGCTGGAGCAGTATGTTATCCTTTACACCCTCATCTCCTGCCTCTTCCTGCCTGCAGTATTAAATGATAATCTGAGAAGCAAGAGGCCTCCATATTAGAAATTCATGTATTACATTATACTGCCAAGACTGATTGTTTCTTTCATTCAACACAAAACAACAGTAATTAGAGAGGAGATCAGAGTTCAGGACACTCAAAATCCCTCTTTCCTCAGGTACCTGAGAGTCAGCTTTGCAAAGTCTTGCCTAACCCCAACAACACTAGACCACTTGGTACTCTCCTAGCATTACGTTACCACAAAAACTAAAGGTAAGTGTGTGGAGGCTTAGGGTTTATTTCCTCCTGCCTTGAATAAAGCACTTTTTTCTTTTGCAATTACTTCTGTCATAATAAAAAGATGCTTCTTAAAACTGAAATGTGGGGAAACCACAGTCCTGAACTGCTTGCCTTAAATAAATACACACATCCCCAAACCAACAGCAGCAATAAGACTGATTTACACAAGCATCATACTACTACTTACCTTATCAGCTTTTAGTTTTCTCAGAAAGGATGGACTGTCATACCCCTTTGCCTGTCTTGCTTCTTGTAGGTGATTGATCATCCAAACATTTTTCCTCTGTTTTGCGAGATCAAGTGGTGATTCTCCCTGTCAGAAATATAAAAGTGGGAAACATCCAATTTAAAAATAAAATGCATTCAGAGTACTTTTGAAACAGAAGATTAGCTGGTAAAAATAATACATTTTACATCAGTTTAAGCTACATTCTGGCATTTTTTTTGCTCTGCAGCTTACTTGACACCAAACATCATTCATTCCTTTTGGTCTTTTTCACTCTCTCATAACTATACATGTGTGGACAAATGTGTGAACCTGACAAGATGCATGTCTTGACATAGCAGTAATTGTTGCCTTTAGCATAACACAACTATGTTTCACTGTTCTACGCACAGTCTAATAGTCTGTAAATGAAAGACTGTGCTTCCTCCTCAGCTATTGACAGGCAGCAGAAATCAAGCAAAGAATAAGAACTTGTGACCCACTGGATCATGGAAACTCTCCCAGTCTCAAGCCTGACTTCTCAGTTAATTCTCTGCCTTTCTGGCAGCATGCAAGCTTAATATTCTTATGTTCATCTCAGTTGCTGAAGTTCTAGGAAGAAAACAGGAAAGAATAAACTGATTAACTTATTTCAAAAGCCTGAGCTTTTATGCTGAGCTTGTGCTTTATGTACTCTGGGTGCTAAGCCAGAAAGGGTCTACCCTTCTTTCAGAGAGGACTGGCAGATGAAGCAAAAGAGAAACACAGAGGGAGATACAGGGCCAAAGGTGCCTACCAGACCAATTTGATTTTGTTGCTTTTTAAACATTTAGGAAGAGAGCTAAATGAAAGTTATTGACTGGGTCTAAAATTATAGAGGAGGCAAGAGACAACCAATTGCAGGTACCTCCAGCTTCAGTTTTGCATTTGACTCTTCCTCTCTTCTACTGGAGTTAACTCCCCTCCTAAACAAACCATTCATGGAGGCTTGAAAAATGGCTGAATCCTCCATCGCTCGGCCCCCTCCTAAAAAAAAAGTGAGACAGGTACCAGAAACTGAAATTACCCAGAAAGGGCAATAATTACTATAGACAGAAGAGATTTCAAAGATTAAAAAGTACAGTTAGCTACCTATATCCCACAAAAAGAAAATGGGAATTGAGTACTTAACTGTCATTTTTGCCTTTGAAATCTTGCTTCTAATCTTTAAAAAGAGAGTAAATAGCACAGACTACAGATTACGAGGTGAAGCTTTTTGCTAGGTAACAGGACCTTGTATTCCTGTGCAAGAAGTTTAACTAGCAAAATCAGTTAAAAAAAGAATAACCTTTTTACTTCAACTTGGCTTCAAAATCATTTAGCCAGATGTTTAAAAACAGATTAAGTTAACTCCATCCTCAACAGAAATGCCTGAAACCAAACTATGATGCCTGTTTCATTACAAGTTTAATAGCACCTTGTATTGCTAATATCTGGGAAACTCCAGAGATGCTGCGGTTTTTGTATCACCTTACATATCCAGACTGTAAAAATTACCTGTGGCCAAGCAATCCCCTCTGGGAGTTCATCTCCCAAGTAAATCCTGAAGTTGTCTTGGGATCCAGCTGAACATCCCTTCCACTAGAGGGCCATGAGACACCTAGGAACTGCCTAGATAAAAAGATTGAGGGAGCTTTAAAGAAGTCTTTGACTATGCTTCTCATCATCTGGCCATTTTAATACTTCCTGGTATTTACAGGGGTAGTGGACAGCTGACTTGCTTAGAAGGCAAGGAAAAAAAAAAAAAAAAAGTATCCGGGAACTTAATCTAGTAACACATTTCAGTTTGCCAGCAAGCAGTAAGGCTTCAATAGTATATAAAGTATTTAGGTAAAAAGAATAATATTCAGAGTCATTAACAGAGAGAACTTTACATAGAGGCTTCCACGGACAAGCCTAAGATGCACTGCATAATCAAGAAACTACATCTAAAGTTCATTTAATGAGTCATTAAAAGACTAAAAAAAAATAAATCTTTCTTAAACCATAAAAGCCCTTTCAGTTCTTTGTCTCTCTCTAGTAAAAAAAAGAGCTTCTGTTTACACTTAAATAAAACTTACAAGTTTCCCCCAAGCCCCAGTGATAACCTGACTCCCTGTGAAATCCTGTTCTCATCTGCCCAATCTGTCAACTGGTGTGGCAAGATAATTTCCTTAAGAAAAAAAGCCAACCAAACACAAAACCCACTCTACTTTGATTACTGAAAAGCAGCTTCCAACTGTAACATTAATCTAGTTCTCAAAAAGGAAAGAAAAAAGCATCTTACTACCAACAGGAAAGCATTATTTTCTTGTACAGCATAATATAAAAAGGCTAAATAACACAAAAAGGACAAATTTGCTGCTTGTATCAAGCTTGATTCTAGACAAAGAGTGCTGTAGTTCATATACTTCACAAACTGTCACGCAAAGTAACATGACTGGGCATAATTTGTTCGAAGCCCAGGCAGCCAGCAGCAATGGGCCTCTCTTAAACAGATTGCCTAGAGCTGATAACAGCAAAGTCAAGGCTCACATCTAATATTTCAGTCGCTTCATACTTTGAAAAAGATGAACAGCTTTCAGCCAATGTACTTCTTTAACCTCAGCTCTCTGAATATCATCCTTGGTCAATTCCATGGGCTGAGAAAAGGACTTCACTAGCTAGTGCCGCAGAAATCTGGAAGTGACTGCATCACAGGAGCCTTTCACAATTCCTTTTATTTCTGAGGAAATGTGAGCCAGACGCTAAACAAACAGGTCTTGGCTCAAAGAAAACTTTATGGCTGAACAGTCAAAGTAGAGCTACAAAACTGAACTTCTACATATGTATAAAATCAACTAAATTTTGATGTTTCCTATATATTTACTATCACCCAAATCAGCATGTTACAAAGCTACTGGCCAGATGGCAAAACTGCCACTGCTTGAATGATTTTGAGGCTCTCAACATCCTAGAAACCTGGGAAGTCATACAAGAAACCTAGACTCCACTCCAGAAGGCAGGCCATGGTTAATGAAACCAGGCACGTCTTCTGGCATGACTGGAAAGATATCATGATCCAACAGGTTCAAAAACCTATTATTCTAGTGACTGCTGCTGTCTGTCAATAAAGAAGGCGAGACCACGAATTGCTTCAGGCTATCAGATACTTTTCATTTGGCTGAAAACACAATATTTTGTTACAGATTTCATAAGGGTCCAGAAATGTAGGTAAGGTGATGACTTTTCAACTCTAATCACACTAATCAGTCTGTCAAGGGAAGCAAGGTATGACACACTGATTATTTTTTTCCACTAAAATACCTTAATTTTTACCATTAGGTGGCATAGAAAAAAAATGATTTTCAACACACGAAGTGAGACTAGAAGCATAATTCATCCACACAAGTGACCTTACAAAGAAGGAATAACTCTTATTTGCTCACATCAGTGCATGCAAGAGGCTAGCTGATTTGTTTTAAACATCTGAAAAGCCATGTGATTTTTCTAATGAGTTTTCATTCATGATCACGACTATTTCTGATATCCTAAAGTGGATATAGGACTTTCGAAAGCTACTAGCAAAATCTGACTGCAACCTTAAAAAGGCTGTTCCATGCTGTTCAAGAAAATGGATGTGTACCTTGGGGTTTTTCTGCATATTTGTACCATTTGTGGCCAAGCAAAATAGGCCCTGTCCATCTTAATCAGTAGGAAAGATGGTAAAAGGTCAAATAATTTTAATTAAGTATTTAATATTTTATAAATATAGATTTACAGCTGTATTTTCAAGTGTAAGCACTCCATCTGTAACACTCATTAAGCGGCAAATACGAATATACAAATATTTGAAGAGAAATTGAGTAGACAATTCTTTTTCTAGAAGTGAATTATTCTCTGACACCACAGAACAAACTGTCTGGGTAGCCAAATGCATCTAATTTGATAGTCAGAGTATCTGGAGGCAATGGATAAATCCATGTTCAAAAGGCACACCTTCCAAGGATGGAGAAACTCTTGCACACTGAAAGACTATGGCAGAAATTCTAACAGCTGCTCCTCTGGTCTAACATATGCTAGAGATGGGCTCTGTTGGTGCAGAATCCAGCTTCATTGTTAAAAAGATCTGGTAAAGTAATGAGGTAACTTAAAGTTCAGATCCAAAATAGAGCCCATTTTCTCATGTTACTCCTACTGGTATTTTCAGGCCTCCAACTCCCTTACTGACACTTTGAGATATGCTAAAGCATTTATCAGCTCTCTGGAAGAGGACAGAGATGTCTCAAATCTCACTCCAACAGTCACCCCAGAACTTCACTACGAGATATTCGGCCAGGTTTCAAATTTTTCATCCAAATGCATGGACCTTCACACACATGGTCTAACTGCACACCCTACTCCCACACATTCACACATAACCACTGGTACATTATTTACTTTAGTACCTTTTAAGGTGCAGATCTAGTGGTTATTGCATCACTGTCAGGAAAAACTGACACCCAAATGAAACACTAGCGGCACTGATTTGCTCCATCTTCATGATCCCACCATACCCACAACAATCTATTCTTGAGATTTATCATAAGCTCTGTTATTTCTGCCTCAAACCACTTACAATAAAAACAGACCAAGAGTTTACCTTTATATTTTGAGCATCAACATTAGCTCCAGCTTCTAACAGAAGACTAATAACTGTAGTATTTCCTGCTAGCACAGCCCAGTGCAATGCTGTGTTTTTGTGGTATTTGTCTCCAAGATTAACAGAAACATTAAATGTAAGTAGTAATCGTGTTGGATCCACACTAGAAAAGAAAATTCTTGTTAGATCTATAGAAGATAAACTCAAATACATACCAACTTATTACTGATGCATCGAATGGGATACATTATGTAATAATTTTTGTAACATTTTTTGCTATGGATTATGAATGGCTCAAATTCTCTTCCCACCAAAGGGCAACCACAATTCTGTTGACTTTTAAAGGAGATTAGTAAGACAGCTTGTTCTGGGATGTCATCAAACATTCGTTATACAATTCTGGGTTTGTGTTTACCAAAATCTAACACTCTTAACAGATTTGGAAAAACATGCTCATGATTATATACTTGGCAGATAACAACCACAGTTCAAAACATGCTGTATTTTCACTTCACAATCCAGAAGATGAAAATAAAATAGGATGATAATGTTGACAATGGCAGGTAATTGTAAAAGCTAGCCTCCCAACAATCAATGGAGATAGGCCCTTCCAAACAGGAATCTAATTCAAACAAATCTGCTCTTTGGAGAAGTGTTATTTTTCATCAGCTTTTCCCAAACATTTCCACAGGAAGATGTGGATTAGTGTGTCCTTCTTCATAATATCTTCTCTCTCAACTAACTCAATGTACCAGGTTTGGCTGAAATTAAGGTAATCTTCTCCATAGTAGCTCCTATGATGCTGTGGTTTGGATTTGTGACTGATAATACACCATGACTTAGCTGTTGCTCAGCACTGCTTACACAGGGCCAAGGCCTTTGCTGTTTCTCATGCTGCCCCACCAGTGAAAAGGCTGGGGGCACACAAGGAGTTGGGAGGGAACACAGCTGGGACAGCTGATCCCAGCTGACCAAAAGGAAATTTCAGACCATATCATCTTGGTGTTCAGCAATAAAAGCTGGTGCAAAGGAGGAAGTGAGGGACATTCAGAATTACAGCATCTTTCTTGCCAAGTACCTGTTACAGGTGATGGAGCCATGTTGGCCTGGGAATGGCTAAACTTCTGCCTACTGATGCAAAGTAGCAAATTAATTCCTTATTTTGCTTTATCTATTAAACCATCTTTATCTCAACCCGTGAGTTTTCTCACTTTTACTCTCCTGACTGATAAAAAAAGATAAAATGGCAATTGTGGAAAGAACATCGACTAGTTAAATAAAAAAAACCCAAAACCGCTTTAAAAAAAAAAAACAAATCAAAACCAGCCAGTACTATATGCCACTACACTAACATTAAGAGAAAAAAGTCTAGAAAACAGCACATATTACCTATGTGTTCTGTAAGCTGCCCACATTAGAGGGGTCATTCCATTTTGATCCATCATATCTACATCCTAAAAAATGGGAAAGGAAAAATGTTGGTGATATAAGTAAGCACACTCAAGTGTCCAGTAGATACAAGGTTTGCAATGAGAAGTTTCAAGACTTTTAGACTAGTTATTTGAACTGGAGAAAAAATGGCAAGCTTTTAGTACATTATCAAATAGTACTTAAAATATTAAAACAGACATTAACACCACCATTGCCAAAATACAGTCATTCCAATCTATTCTGGAAACTAAGGACAGTCATGCTGTATAAGGCTAGTCATTGCTATCTTACTATTAATCTTCAACATAAAAGATATACATAGATAGTGCATTATTGCACTCAAAAGCTGGAGAAAACTAAAACAATGCACCAATACTTAAAAATTGATAAATCAATATAAATAGCACTATCTGAATCCTACATCCTACTAAATGCTAGTAGCATCTACTTTTTCACTTGAAAAGCAATTTTATTTAATTCACTCAGTTCCAAAGGTATTTATACATCTGGTTATCAAGGTAATGGATGTCAGAAAATTTGAAAGCTTAAACAAAAGCCATTAATAAAAACAACCCACGCAGAAATAAAACTGATCTATAATCAAACAGTGACTAAACTGATGGCTAAAAATAAACAAATAAATAAAAGCATGATTACATTTCACAGAAGATAGCCACAGAATGACAAAACAGCACCACCCAGACAAGTCTTTTAGACTCATCAGAAAGGATTTAATGTCTACAGCACTTCTTCCTCTTACAGATCACTACCTTACTAACATGGAATTCCTGAATACACTGAGGCAGGCTACACTCTCAAGCACATTTTGGCAAGTTTCACAGACCACCACTAACAAAAATCACTCTAAGCTAACTTCATGCAGGACCTGAAGAGGTCTCCTTAGAGGCAAGAGAGCCATGTCAATGTTTCCTGTGACACTCCCCTTGTCCTTACTAGGAAAATTGGACTCAAAGACAAATTAATTCTTCCACATAATTGCTTTTAAAACATCTCTAGCCTGCAAATAACTTAGTATTTATGAGTTTTTACTCTGCTGTTGAATTTATAAAAAATAATATTTAAAAACCAATTGATGGAAGAGAAAGAGAACCATTACTCATTTGTACTGTTTGTTCAGAAAAGTTACATGGCTTGAGACCAGGATTCAATTCTGTTTGCCCACAGTTACTTGTAAAGATTAGATCCTTTTGAGCCTAGTAGGACTACAAAACAGCTGCCTTCAACATCCTGTGGTTAAAATATGAAGAAAATTAGAACCACAGCCTAACCTCAAGTTCATTCATCCTTGAGAAACACAACGTTGATTTGCAGGTCACACTGTGTGAACAACATACTTTGAAGGTTGTACAGATTACTGTAAGATGAACAATCACTCTTGCACCTTTAGATTTCATATAGAAAAGCAATTCTTTGTGACAGCAGGGACCTGATTGCCTGGATCTAAGTAAAACCACTCCTTCAACAATTCCACCTGACAAATCAAAACTACACTTTTTTGTACAGTAGGTGACACTCAGCTAGAAGAAGAAAAAACAAACCCCATGAGCTCCAGACTATTCCCTGTACATAAATTACCTAGGCAGGCTACAGCTATAACTCATATTAAGCTACAATATTGGCTGAGTACTTAACAATACTTGTTAAGTATTGCCTTACTTAACAAGAGGCAAAGTAACTAAGACTGACTTGCATCCTATTGTATAGATGCAATAAAGATGATGAGGCTGTGGATAGCAGACATGTGCTCTAACAAACCTCTCATCAAAAATTCCTTGTTATTTTGCCAGATCATTACCACAACCAGACAACAAGTGAGACATTTCAGAAAAGAAGCTCTATTCCTGCTTTTCACCAAAGAAAGGGCTGAGGCAAAAAGCTAAACCTTCATCAGCTGGTACATATTAAGTGACTGTTTTTCTTTTCTAGTGTGTACCAACAGGCATTTTAGCATTAATTTCTCATTAGTTCTGAGTGACAGATCACTCTGATAGTGCCCATAGAGGGATGTACCTGTACTGTTAGGACATGGTACAAGTGCTGCAAGAACCAAAAACACTTGAACAGTAAGTGATGCAATGCCCCAAAATTGCACATACTGTGCTGCCCTCTGTATGTGGTTAAAGTGTGAACTCTGTGGACCACAACTGGCAAAGTTTCCACTTGTTTCTGAAGTACAGCTCTGATTCTGAAAGAGAAAAAACTTTGCATATGCGAAGACAAACAGACTTAATCCTAAAAGCACTAATCAAGATTCCACAAAAAGCTTTCAGAAAGGCAAAAATACTGAGAAGAAAAAGCTTCCTGCAGGAACAGGAGCTGCAGCAACTATTATGCTGTTTAACACTGCTTTCTGAAAGCAATATAATTGACAAGGTAGGAATATTAACAGTAGCTGAAAATCAGAGCAGCATTAGGGTTACCAGGACATTTAACAAGCCATGGTAAACCAGTACTGTGATACAATACAGCCTTTTCAAAAGCACAAAAAGCATCAAGAGATTCCACTCATAAGTACATTAAATTGCACAGAAAGGAGCCAGGAATTTGATCCTCTTTAGAACCATTACGGGTTATTTCACGAAATACAGACCTTCACAGAGACCCATCACAACCTTGTTCAGAAACCTATTCTATTCTCCATAGAAAAGATCTAGTTCACGTGGACTGCTGCCCAGGGAAAGGAAAAGAGGCTTTAAAAGCATATAGCAAAGAAGATTTGCCAGGAAGGGAGATAACTTCTGACAATATTTTGTAATCTAGAAAAGATGTATGCTAGTTATTCACTAAAAGTGGAGATTTTGTAGGACTCCTGTGGAACGAACCGAGTGCAGGCTGACAAGCAAGGTAACAGACAGAACTGAACCTATCTTGTTCTTTCAAACGAAAGCTCTATTTTAAATGCTCTAGTCCATCAAGCAGAGTCAGTTTTGACAATCATGAACACAACTGGACTTAAAATTCTGTAAGTGATGTGCTCTAAATTGGGTCAAGGAAATAAACACTTGGTTCAGTGTTCTGACACTGGCCTGGAGAGAAGGAGCCTCAGTGCCAAGAGAGGTAACAGTGCTTAGGAGCACGTGGACTGCAGCACCAAAGTAACCAAGGCTGCTGTACCACAGCGGCATCTCCCAACCTAGATGCCATCAACTTCTAGGCCATAGCTCAGAAGGAGGCTCTATGCAGCTTGGGAGAGTAGTTAACATACAGAATTGCAACTCTGAGAATATAAAAAAATACATACTTCATGAGTTAGTGCTAGTTAAACTATGACAGTGATAGCTGAACCATGAGTATGAAATAGCTACACTATAATTTTAGATATAGACTATTTCTTACAATGTGCTTTTACCCTACTAGCAACTTACAGTCATTTATTATGTGTGATTGAGGTAAGTTACCTCACACATGCCACAGGATGAGAACACGTTATTCAAGTGTTTGACACCACATCCATATCTTATTCCAAGTGAATGTCTGTATATGCCAGGCCCCGATATGCCTTTGGCATTTTAAGTAGCATAAGCACAGTTTCAAGCAGCCACATTGCACATTGAACATTTTTAAGGTACTTCAAGTGCTTTTCAGCTCTTCTTTCTTGAATTTTTTTAAAATAATGATCTTAGCTAAACCTGCACTGTGCTACAGATTCTGTTACTTGATATCTGATTATGTTTAGATGATGTACTTGCCTCAGGCTTGATTTTGACCCAGGCAACCTACTGACAAACATGAGCAAAGTTTGATACATCCAGGTATCAGTCTCTCAAAATGCAGTAAGAGACATGACTAAATACAAAGCAAGAGCTATTAGCCACTGCTGCATCTTGGCTGAGTAGTACTATTGGCATGAAAGCAGGTTCACTTCCAACCTATGCCAGATAGCACCTGACCAAGAGTTCTTCCCCTACACTATGCTCCAGAAGCCAGAAGAGATTGAAGCAGCAACACTGAAGTTGGGTTCCAGGTCTGTCTCAGAAAGGGACAAGAAGCAAGTAGGAGCAACTTCTTAATCCACCTGTCAGTTTCTACATAGTTATGAAAGTTGGCTCTTCTCTGGCCATACTGATCCACAAAGGCATTTGGATCAGAACTAACAAAGCACAACAGCCTACAATGATCTTTATTTTGACATTTATTTAGCTGTCATTTACCACACAGGCACTATAATTAGGTTCAGAACAAGGGCAAGCCTACTCTGGATACAAGAGAGCTTGGACTTTACAAAGACATAAAGCAAAAAATTTGCAAGTAGTAATATATAGGGTTAGCCCACGTAAGAAAAACAGTTCAAGTTTTCAAACCCAAATCATTGCATCATGGAGCAGGAGGAGGGAGATGGACACCAAACTGGAGAGATTAATGACCTCATATGTACCTACTAAAGGATAATTCAAAAACAGAATTGTACATTTCGCATAGCTTCTAAAGAAGTTTCTTTAGTTGTATGCAGTATAGCCTGAGAAATTTAGGGACTTAATACAATGCCATTGCTGTTACTACATTTTAAACACACAAATCAATACATAAAGTTGGACGTTTTGAAGTGCTTTGAAAATTTACATTTAAAATGAATTCAAATGTAAATTACAGAAAGGATACCAAAATCATACTTGATAACATCTCAGGGATTTAATACAAATCAGGCTTTTTAAAGCTATTGATAAGGAGTGCTATTTCCAAGATAACAGGTTTTTAATTTTTAGGCAATTTTTGTCTTTATGTATGTACTTATGTAAAGACACACAGCTTCTTTTGCACAGAAGTATTATACCCTCAAAGAAATAGGACAAGTCTGTATATAAACCTGAGGACAAAAACATTTACAGGGAGATTTCATAATCACAGAAGAACACTTTTAAGGTCAATAATGCTATGCTTTAAACAAGTTCACACTTGTACAACATCAGGAAGACTTTTCTGGTAACAAAAGCCCCACATACAATTACACATAACTTGTGAAGAAAAGACAAAACTTGTTCCTCATGAAAAAGTATTTCTCTCCAATCATTTCTTACAAAACGGTGATCACATAGGATCAGACTCTTCTTTTGACTAGCTTACTCTCTATCATACACTAAATACTGTTTTACCAATCAGTTCTCGGATCCGAACTGAATACTGCATGGAGCAATAGCTTATGGCTTTTTACATGTACAGGTATAAATAATTTTCTGCAGCAAACTTAGTATTTGTTTTACACAGACCAAACCCACTCCTTTCAGAGCCACTGGATCATATCTCACTTAGTATTTGAAAGAATGAGCAGAACCCAGCAGTGCAAACAGCATTAGTAGGACCATCATACAAGAGGAGGGCTTTGACTTGTCTATATGCTTTACAAGTAAATCAAATTTGTGCTTCAGGCACATACCTGTGGGTACATAAATCTACAAATTACAGTGCAGGGTGAGTAGCAAAATCATGAACAAGTTTTTGAACAGACAGAATGACAGATGAGACACAATAGGAACAGTAATGAATACACATTATATACACACCTTACAGATCTAGCAGTAATACACGAAGCTAGCAAGAAGGTTTGGGGTTGTTAGGTTTTATTTCTATTTATACATGCAAGCAATTAGGTACATAAATAAATTTAAAGTTGTGGATTGAAGTGTCACAGATTCTTTATCTGTGCGTATGTGATGATTCTGTGAAGAACTCTAAAATACTTGCTATCATTGTCACAGTTACATTTAAAGATTAAATTCCATAGAAATAAAGAATGGTAAAAGAGTAACTGCTAGAATTTTCATATACTACACTAGACAGGTGTCAATTAAAGCCAAAGTACTCATATCCTGTTACAGGAAATTAAATTAGTAGGTGACACATCAATACTGTAGTTTACAACAAAGGACACTACATTATTTTTATATTTAGGCAAATATTTTGCATTTCCTGAATGATCAGTACAGGTTTCAATTCTTTTCCTACTCTAAATTTGAGTAGAATCTATTTAAATATCATAGTACTTAAAATTTACCTGTCCTTTTGCTATCAGGTAAGCAACAATCGAAGTATGTCCAAACTGGGCAGCCAAATGAATACAGCTACATCCTTCTCCATCAATTAGCGACGGATCTGCCCCATATTTCATCAGCTGTACAACCATGGATAAGTGACCCTGTCTAAATGTAACAAAACACAAAAAAAACCACAACTGAATAACTATATACAGGAAAACTATTAAAATTTGAATACTGGAATACAAGTATGTTTAGCAGGTAGTTACACTACTGGAGTTCCCACACTAACTCATACTTAGAAAACAACAACTGTCATGATCTGATTCTGGACTGAGTAAGCAAACTCATTCACATGAGCAAATTCTATGCACACAATGCATTCATCACATGCAATTTGCTTAAGTGTACTTAGAGCAAAATGTGCGTCAACAAAAAAATCCCAAGTTATAGTTTGGAAATCTAGTCTACTGTGACTTCTTCCATTCCACATATGAAACCTGCTGTTTTAAGAGATGTTAAACTGGCTTCATGCTCTCACTTTTTGTGGGGCTTACGGTTTATTTTTCTACTATTAAAAACCATAGTGAAATAAAAATGGGGAGAGAAAAGGTCTGCACTTCCTCCACACTACATTAAAAGCCTAAGCATCTTTCTGGCATAATGAATATAGGCATATCCTTCTTTTAGACATGGTGCCTAACTGTTAGTACAGTTTCTGACATGAGCAGAAAGATCTTTTCCATCTGTCAGAAGCAGTTTTGGGCAATGCTTTACAGCAGAAGATTCCAGGTATGAATGAACACCAGGAATTTAATCAAGCTTTTGTGCTATTAACACAGAATCACAGAGTGTGATCTGTAACAGAAAGAAATGTAGAAGCAAAAATCTTTAATGGAGGCTAACAAGTACGTCCTCATCTTTAGTAAACACATTATTTTGATACATTAGATCAAATGTATCAAAAAGTTAAGCTTATAAGTCTCCTTTTGCAGTCTACAGTTAAAAAATATTAATATGGACAATGTTTCCTTCCCATCTATTCCTAGGTGGTTGTCTGAAGGAACATATACTGCTCGAAAGCTGTCTTCCATTTTTCCAGCCATTCATCATTCTCTGACCATCTTCTATAACATAAATCTGATTTTAAGTACATCTTTTAAAAAAATCCACACATGTAATAGAACACTGCAAGGACAATGTCACACAAAATCATCCATGGACCAATCTGCAGAAGTGCTGCTGAACTTCAGAGGACTTGACAAAAATAAGACCTCCAAAGAAAGAGTAAACCAAGGTGACTATAGACTCTAACTTTACTCCATGTTTTCCTAGCATAGAAATCATCTTCCCCTATATAAGAAATATGACAAAAACTGAACCGTACGCTGAAAGCTCATGCAGCTCAACACATCCAGTGTCCTCAATTATCAATGACTAAATTAGTTCTAGTACCAGGTATTCCCATAGAATACAGCAATTTCATAAAACTACCAGTAGCAGATTCCAAGTAAAGCAAAGAAACAGAAAAGAAAATTCCAGAAGACTTTTCCCCACCTTGTTGCCCAGTGAAGTGGGGTAGAATTTAAATCTCCTCCAAGCTGATCAACGATAGCACCTTTTGATATATAGTATCTGGAATAACAGAAATTGTAAACATTATTGCTTGCCTTGGTTAAGCAGAAAGGACACAGTAAGCATGCTTGATGTTATGCAAAATGGGCAGTTACAGAGCAGAACCTTTTCTTGCCTTCATATAACCTTCCTTTTTAGAGGTTACACAGACAATTTTTT